TGCCTCTCCCGAATGCTAGGACTAAAAGTGTGAGCCACCATGAGCCTAGCTATGTTATTATTTTTAAAAATTTTTTTAAATCTTTAAAAAAATTTATTATTTTAGTGTACGCATGTATTGCCTGCATGTAGGTAAGTACACCATGTTGTGCAATGCCTGCGGGGGACAGAAGACGCTGTCGAATCCTGGAACTGGAGTTAGGGACAGTTGTTAGCTGCCATGTGGGTACTAGGATTCAAACCCAGGTCTTCTGCAAGAACAGTGTTCTTAACCACTGAGCCATCTCTCCAGCCCCCTACTATTATTATTATTATTATTCTTAAAGGCTTATCAAGGCTTATCAAGTCTTATCTGTGTTCCCTAAATTCTCTTGGATGTGGGTTCATCCCTTAGAGTCTGGTCAACTTACAAGGCATCGTACTCCTAAAGAAAACTGATCTTTTATTATTTTAAATATTTATTTATGTGTATGTGTGTGTGCATCTATGTGAATGTACATAACATGTATGTATGCCCACAGAGGCCAGAAAAGGGTGTTGGGTCCCCTGGAGCTGGAGTTGCAGGTGGCTGTAAGATGCTAGATGTGGGTGCTGGGAACTGAACCTGGGTCCCCTGCAAGAGCAATACTTGTTCTTAACTGCTGAGCCATTTCTCGCCCGTGGAACTAATCTCTTATATATAATGGGGAAAATAATTTATTTAAATGACCTTACTATATATTTTTTATGCCAAAAAGGACTGAAATTTGTGAGATTCAGTTTTTTAAAGTTTCAGGTTCCTAGTTTCTGTAAACACTTTAACAAAACTACTAAAGAATAACTGGCTTATTCACCTTTCTCTTGTCTATTTTGGCTGTTAGAAATGCACAGGAGTACTGATGTAGTTGTGGCACCTCAGAATTCCTGAAAAAGCCTTACAGTGCCATTGGAAATTACAGAGTTGAATTCATTGTTTTTTAAATGGCTTTAACTAAAATAAAAAGCTCTCCTCTAATCTGTCAGTATTCTGCTTCCCAAAGTTATCAAACATATCAACTCCTAAATTCACCTCAAGGAAATGGCTTCTGGGAGTATACTCCAGCTCCTTCCTTCACCTTCTTTCTATTACAAACTGTTCCAGATCAAATGGCTCTGATAACAACAGCTTGACGGATAAACTAACAGATCAATTGCTTCCTGATCCTTCCAATTCTGAGACGCTTACTAAATAAAGAACTCATCAGTCATCCATGTGAAAAAGAAAGTGATAGACACAAATCAGTAAAAACAAAGGCTCTTTTTAATACTGTAAAATCCCCCAGATCTACTCACAAGAAAAAGTAGAGTCCCCAGGATAAACCTGCACCCCACACATTTGGGGTTACTCCTTGGTAAAGTCCTCGTAGTCCATCAACTTTCCAAATTGTAGTCAAACAATGCAAAATTCCTTTATATTTTGGTCTCACTTCCAGTCCATCATTCACTGCATTGAAGGATACAGTTAGGTGAAAACAAGGGTCTAGCTCACAGTCACACTTGAACACTGATAGTACACAATCAGATCCATAAACGAAATAAATTCAAAAGAAAAACCATGGGTAGAAAAAATTATTTTTAGGATATTTAATGTTTCTAAACTATTACATCCATCAACTTAAAAGAGTATTTACTCAGACCGTACTAAAACTGCTAATATTTTAGGAAGTAACTGTTAAATAACCCCAAAACACTTTTTTTTACTTTTGCTATAGTCAAGAATATGGATCCATTAATTATCAAGAATGCTAACCTAAGGAGTACCAGGAAAGAAATCTAGAGGACAGATAAGCCTACTTCCCTGGAAATTCTTCCCTCTCTCCACCAACACACATACACCAAAATCAGAGTATAAGGCCGGAAAGTACTGAACATTAAACGAAATTGAACTAGTTTTCCCTCCCCTTCCCAAGATGCGCTTATTCAAAGGTCCTACATAACCCAACAAATGCCACTACCACCTACAGAGATGTTCATGTTGCCTAGGGCCCATCTACCATCGCTCTTCTTTGCCTTTTTATCAAAAAACTTTTACCTTTTTTTGTAAAAAGCAACAACAACAACAACAAATAACAACAACAACAACAACAAAACCCCAAACAGGTCCTTTCACCTTATGCTATGAAGTCCTCCTGGACCTGTCTACATCTTACAGAAAACATTGCCATCAGTTTTCAAACAATAGCGGCATTTTAAAGTGTAGTGTGCTACTATACCCAGGTAAATTTGCATTTGTTTTCATTCTGTCTCTACAGTAAATGGAAAAATACATTCAAATAGGATAATTTGGGCACATAAAGGGTACTTTAAAGGGACTGCTTACAAGGCTGTGGGCAGGTTACAGGAAAACAAGGAATAATTCAGTATCAACAAGTGCATTATTGTTTTGAGAAATTACTTAATCCTGGAAGTAGAACATTAAGTATCTCAACAATAGGGAACATTCTATATTATAAAATCACTTTTTGTGTTATAAAATTCTACAATAAAAACAGCAATTTTCCCTTACCTAGGGTTTTTCTATTGTTTTCAGACAGAGAGCCACCTACTTCTGCCTCTCGAGTTCTTGGATTTAAGCCTGGCCTTAGTTTTGTGTGTTACTTTTTTCTCCACTCAAGAGTTTACAAGCATTTCTCCTTGTTATTAGATTTTCCCAAGTAAGACATTGGAAAGGGATTGGTTTTCATCTCATAACCATCTATCAATCTATATAACAACCATATGTGTGTATATATAAAAACCATCTATATAATCATTCCCCTTTGATTTGTGAATTCTCATTTAAAAAATATTTATTTCAAAGGGATTCCCAGATAGTAACCCAGCATAGAACTGGGAAAATGAACAGCAGACCCCAATCTTATCCAAATGAATATTAACAACTGATTACCGCTAGATGAGGAACAGCTGACCCTCGTAAAACAAAGACCTCTAGATAGGCTGACTAGATTCACCAGAAGGGCAAGTAGTGGGGAATGGCTGGGGGTGCCAACAACACAGCAGTCAGTAGCAGGGATATCCGAGTATAAGGGCTCTAGTAGGGGGAGGGAGGCTATGGGAGGGTGCTATCTGGGAAGTGGGTGTAAAAAAAAATATTTATTTTTATTTTATGTGTATGAGTGTTTTGCCTGCATGTATGCATATGTATCACATATGTGCAATGCCTTCAAAAGCCAGAGGAGAGTGTGGGATCCCCTGGAACTGGAGTTACACATGGTTAATTGCCATATGGGACCTAGGAATCAAACCAGGTCCTCTCCAAGAGCAGCAAGTGCTCTTAAACGATGAGCCACTTCTCCAGCCCTGTTTCTCATCTTTTAAATCAATTAAGGGCAGCATGTAATGAAATGGGTTTCATTATAACGTTTTCTTAAAAACTCTATCATTTATTTTATATGTATGAGTGTATTACCTGTATGTATGTAAGTGTACCTGTGTCATGCAATGCCTGAAGAGGTCAGAAGTGGGCATCGAATCCCCTGGAACTGGAGCTATAGACGGTTGTTAGCCACCATGTGGGTGCTGGGACTCAAACCCAGGTCCTTTGCAAGAACAGCCAGTACTCTTAACCACTCAGCCATCTTTCCAGCCCCCATTACAGCTTTTTCATATATACTTGTCATTATACTTTGTTCGATTTCATCCTCCTCTCCCACTACCCTCCCCCATCCCTTGCTCCCTCTGGCTGGTTTGCTAATCTTCTTACCAACGTCACACAAATTATAGTTCTTTGGCCACATGTAAGCAGGTCCAGTTCACTCTCCCCCTGTTGCTACTGTGTATAATGGGGCCTGGCAAGGAAGAATGCTGACTGTTTAGCACTGCCAGGCAAAGGTGGAAAAATCAGCTTCTTTTTGTCATTAATCTGTCAGTGTTACACTATGAAATGAGATTAAAGTGCACTGGGTTTTGTGAGAAGCCTGGGTTGGAAATCTAATTTCCTTTATTAATTACATGGTCTGGACCTCGCTGAGCTTCAGTTTCCTCCTGTCCAAAGTAGAGATAATATCTACTTCACAAATAAAAATTGAGGCAGCAGAGTGACTGGCTTTTGAGAAATGTTTTGTACTGCACTCTATGCTTCCTTTTGATTTTCTATCTCTCATTCTACACAGTTTTTGTTCTAGATATTTTTCTAGTTCTCTCAATAAATTCACAATATAATTGTGAGATAAAAGGCAAAACAAACCACCACTGTTTTCCATAGGTATAAATCAGTATTTTATTGTTTGGAGAAACTGGTCTTAAGAGTGGTAACTGTGAATAAGAGGAAAGAACGATTAGGAGCTTGTCTTCAGAAGCGGAGAGAAAGGGAGGTTTATTGCTAGACAGGTGAACAGCTGGTACAAATATGAGGAAGTGCCACACCTGGCAATCTGTGAGAAGAGTGGAGATTGGCACAGCACACGTGTTGGGGTAGTGGAGGCAAAGCTAGGGAATTAGTCTGGAAAGAATGGACTGAGTTGTGCATCTCCAAACTTCATGTCTAGCCCTAGCTCTCAATGTGACAGCATCTGCAAACAGGGCCTTTAAGGAGGTAAATTAAGGCTAAAAGGCCATCTGTAAGCTAAGACGGTTTTTACTAGAAATCAACCTTGCCAGCACCTTCATTTTGGACTCCCAGTCCCAGATTTTTCTATGAGAAAAATCAATTCTTTGTTGTTTAAGCCATACTGTCTCTAAGTGGTATTTTGTTGAGGCAGGCAAAACTACAAAGGGTTTATTTATTTATTTTTTTGGTCTTCTTTGAAACAGGGTCTCTTATAGCCCCAGTTGGTCTGGAACTCACTATGTAAGCCAGGCTGGCTTTGATCTTACAAAGATCCATCTCCCAAGTGCTGGGATTAAAGGTGTGTACTACCACTCCAGACTCCTACCTACAAAGGTTCTTAAATTAAAAAAAAAAAAAAATCACCCAAGAGTTTGGCTATGATCTCAAAGCCTTAATTTCTCAAACTTGTATTCAGGTACAAATTTGAGATTATTTTATGTCTGAAATAATCAAATACATGTTTTAAGAAAGGAAACTGTGCTGTCCTCAAGTAGAATGAATTTGAAAACAGAAAATCCAGAAACAAGAAAGCAAGAGACTCTAGATACGAAGACGTGAACAGGGGCTCCCAAATGCCAAATTAAAGTTGCTGTAAAGTGAATTTTTAGTCAAAATGACCTGAGGAAGGTCAGAAAAGCAGTGGTTTCCATAACTCTTATTGGCCTGGGATACGCTAGAAAATGTCAAAAGACACCAACTGTAGACATAGAATTTGGTATATGGGAAGGAGCTGGACAGAAGACATTAATTTTAAATTAATTTTTTAGGAAAGACATTAAATATACTGACCATTAAAAAGTTACCTAGTATAACCAGCTTATACCTAATATAAGCTGTTTCACGTGTTGGCTATTAGTTTTCTCTGGTGACGATGAAGATTTTCCCTTAATAAAACAAATCCCTTTTACTTGTACTTTATGTGGGTGATTTTTTTTTTCTTTCTTTCTTTCTTTTTTTTTAAATTTCTTGATGGTATAGGGATTAAGTTCAGGACCTTATGGATGTCTAGATAAGCATTCAACCACTGAGCTAATTCTACAGTGGTCCACACTTGTAAAAAAAAAAAAAAAAATGGAGAATGGAGTTTTA